GAGTCTTAGAGAGAGAAAGTGCGAAGAACAAACCCTAGGAGTGATTCTGGAGCTGGGTTTTATCAAACAAGCTTGGATTTCATCATTGGAGTGAAGATTATCATCCCAAAGCAGATTCTTCCTATCATTATGAGTATGGCTGCTTTGTATTCTGTTTTTCTCTCTCTCTATGGAGTAGAACCCTATCTCAGTTGGGTTCCATGTGTTAGGGATCATTATTGTAATGACTTTTGGATAATATACAGCTTGGTTATAATCGATTGATGCATAATTCATTGAGTCAATTGAAGCCTGATCAACTTTTCTTGATTTCTGCTGCAACCTGATATAGATAGAATCTGATTAAGTTGTTAGAGTTTCATTAATAGATAGTAGTGAATTGGTTATATGAGAGTTAATCAATTTATTGCTTTGTACTGGAATGCAATTCCAGTAGTGGAGTTCTGTGTTTATTGCCTCAACGTTCTATCTCGGTGAAGACTAGTCGTCTATCGGGTAGTCTGTCTGAGAGAGCTTGGTCATCTTAAGAGATTCCAAGCTACTGTCGGATCTTCTGCAGTTTAATCATCAATAAATCAACCAAAGGAAATTACAACTTGACCTAACTAATGAGCTTGGGGGACTCATTCTCGAGTGACTCTTCCCTTGCTTAAGAACTTCGATAAATTTCCTGTTTTTTTTACTGCTTTTCATTTCAATCACTCTCAATACACTTAGTCCTGCTAGATAATAGATACTCACGGAGTAGGCAGTAGATCTAGTCCCCGGGTGGATAAAGCTAACTTGCCACTATTTTGCATTCCCATTCTGCGATTACACTTGATCGCAGTTTGGTATTGTGTCGTAGCGTGTCAAGTTTTTGGCGCCATTGCCGGGGACCTCTAGGTTATTGTAGAAACGTGAAGTCTGTTACTTTAGCGTTTTTCTTTTCTTTTCCACCCGTGCTTTTCACTTGGGTGTTATGTTTTTGTTGATGCAGATATGTAACATGGATCCTCATGGCTTTTCGAACCATTGGGGGTATCAACCACCATCAGTGTGGTATTACCCTGAGACTTCTTGGAGCAATCAAGGAGGAGAAGACTATGGATTCGGATGTCAGTACCAACCCCTCATACTATGGAGAACAACCAAACCCTTGGGAACCTCAAGAACAATATCCTTTTCAAGAAGAATTCCTGCCACAACCAGAGGGGCCATCTGAGTTGGAGTTATCCGTGGAGGACTTCAGGGGCCACTCTGCAGAGCCATGCTACAATCCACTGGCAGATCCGAACAATTGAGGCTTCTCGTGGAGCAGTTTGCTCTAGACACTGAGAGATCATGCTCCAAGATGGATCTTCAAATCCAAGCCCTTTCCCCTTCCGATCCCTCATTTCTCTATGAAATGGAGGAGGCTATTCAGTGCTCAACGAAGTAAACATAGTGGGTGGAACAAGTTTGCGCATAGCCTGCTCAAGATCACCTTTCTGCTACCACACTAGAAGAGGTGGAGGATGACGAAGGCTACGGGGACGTTGAGGAGCATACAGAAGTTATCACAAAGAACTCCCATGATAATCATGATCAGGAAAGTCCTCTAGTGGCAGATCACACCTTTCCCCATTTATGATCTAACATGTTGAGCTCGTGCGAGGAGATGCAAGATGATCCCATTGAAGAAATTGCTTGTTGACTTGCTCTCCAATTTGTTCAGGAAGAAGAAGAGAGAGCAAGGGTGAGGAAAGAAGTTGTGGAGGATGAGGAAGAAATTAAAGAAGAGGTAGTTCTTGATATTTTCCAAGTGGAGAGACCACATTTTGAAGAAGGAAGGGGGGTTGAGGAAGCAATTGGCGTCCAGGCTGAGGATGAAGTTGAGGTGGAAGAGCCTTGCACCGCGCCCTATGTTACATGTGATATCTCCACCAAACTTCGAGGAGCTGCTTGGCAATGACCCATTTGCAGTGTCTCTTTGCCAGACCAAGACCACATCAACATCGATGCCTCTTGGTGGATGCGTTGGTGGGCAATCTATGGTATCTTATCTGGTTTGGGGCAATGAGACAAGAGAAGACGCGAATGAGAGGTCTCGAGAGTGGAGACTTCATCTTCCTCAAGGCCACGAGCCATTTCATCACCTATAACATCACCTGCTTGTGTGACTTGAGACTCCACATCATCGACGAGACCCTCAACTTCAAGGAGGTTCTAGGGTGGACCGAAACTTAGGAGCCACCGTCTAGCTAAGACGTAAAAGAATCGCTTGTGGGGAGGCAAAACCATCATGGTTTGTTTTCCTTTCGTTTGTTTTTGGTTTGTCCACTTGGAACTGTGGTTTCTATCACCCATTGTGTTTTGATGACTCAAGCTCTGTGGACTGGTCTCCTGTCCAGTCCGCCCCTGCTGACTGGTCCCATTTCCCGTCCCCCGACAGTCTGTTTTTCCCGGCAACATCGTTCCCCTTATCTTTCCATCTGCTCCATTGAGGGCAATGTCGTGCTTAAGAGTGTGTGTGTGGGGGGGGGGGGGGGGGTGTTTATCTATCTTTGACTGCTAGATGAGTTTGTGTGCTTGGAGCCTAGTCCACTGTCCAAATTTCGATTTGAGGGCTCCAAGTATTGTTCCCTACAATATCCTGCTCAGTATGTTTTGAATTGACAGTCTTTATGGTGATATGCAACCTAGGGAGGTAGTGCAGCACCATGGAGGATGTTGATGCATTTAAGAAGTCTCCTTTATTTTTCATATTGTGTTGGTTGATTGTGTGAATTAGTGATCGCATGACCCTTGAATTGTGTGGTATTGTGGACTCTCTACCTGTCACGGATTAATGTATCATGTTTTGAAAAAAAGATGCTAAAAATAACGTCTCCATTTTCTCTGTGTGATAATCCAATTTAGCCGTTCTTTAGACCAATTTTCCGATTGCAAAGAGGACTACCCAGTTGTGTAGGTGAACTGGAAGCTACAGAAACTGGGCTCAGGCGACCACTGATATGTGGGGTTTTTTCGACGTGCGACCGTTGATTGGGTGAACAATGGCTATGGGGAGAAAAGTTGGTAAGGAACCGTGCATCCAAACTTATCCTTTTAATTAATAATTGATTTGTTTGCATCATGATAATGAGAATTCTGTTTCTAACTATGCAGTCCTTGCACCATATATACTCGTCTTTCTCTTTGAGACTTTATGCAGTTACACATTTGTGAGTTTCTCTATTAATTTCGTCTTTCTCTTTGAGACTTTATGCAGTTACACCTTTGTCAACCCACGGGTTGACCCGGACCCGGTTGAGTTAGTGGGTCAAGGGTTAATGGGTCACCCGTTTTAACCCGGAAATATGGAAAGCGTCATTATATTGTACTTATCCTGATAAATTATATCAAATCTCATCTAACATATAAGTTATAACATATAATATTACACTAAAATAACATTTCGTACTTAGATTCAACATATAGTGAAAATTCACACACACTTATATAACATTAATATTCAAATGTTCAACTTAGAATTCCAAAGATTGAGTTAGGCGAAAAGAAAAATCGGAAAATAGGCGCATTTCGCAAAACAAAGAAAAAATGACACAATTTGACCTCCAACCCAGTACCTTGTGCCGGTCGACCCGACGGGTGCGTGCGGCCCATTTTTCTCACCGGGTCAGGGTCAAAGTGGGTCAACCCACGGGTCGACCCGCGGGTTGACAACCTTGATGGGAAGTGAATGGTGACGTATATATAGGTTTGGAAGTATGTAGATGGGTTTGAGTAGGGTATGAATATTTACTTCCATAATCTAAATGTGTATAAGTTGGGTATGGAATGGATACTCATTTATTCGAGGGTGTTTCACCATGTGATCACTGAAATTCAATTTCGTCTTTCTCTTTGAGACTTTATGCAGTTACACATTTGTGAGTTTCTCTATTAATTATGCCAGTTCTCCTGTCTTTTGTCTGAATAAATTAATGAAGGGTCCAATTACGAATTAATTGAATAACATTGTATATTCAATCATGTAGACATCCTTCTAGTCATATGTTATTCCATATCATAACTCATTGTTCAAAAGTGACCTTTCAATTGCTAGCCTAACATAAGCGTCAATTTACAATAAGTGTCATTTTCTCAAGCAAATAAACTAAATTATTCATATTATAAACATTCAACTGCATGGTATCCAAAAACTTTTCTCCTAAGAGAATAAATAAATGGTTATGTAAGTAGAATGAGAAAATTTTAAATTAGACATAAGAAAATTGATCATTTATGTTACTGGTATAAGTGTATGTACTAGTTTTTTGGCCTGCGCTTTGCTGCCGTAGAAAATTAATTATATTTAAAATTTTAACTATTTTTTGAATTTAGCATGAATAAAATAATTCACAAAATTGTCTTGGTTAGATACCTTCATAAGTTTTTTGTAGTATCTTAAATATTAGGAAAGACTAACGCCATACATTTGATTAAGCTGTTATGTAAAATTGAACAAACCTGATGAAACCTTGCATATTGATGATATGGTGAATATTTTTGTTAGTGTTAAAAAATTTTAGTTAATAATAAAGGAATTAAGGTATGAAAAGTAACACATTTTATTGAATTGTAATATACACAAATAATTTACCTTACAAAACCCTTGAGTATTGAAAAATGGTGAGATGATCAATAGTTTAGTTAATAATTAATGAATTCATATGCTCAAAGTTATATTATGCAAGACCTACGTAATACGTGTGTGTGTTTAACTAATGCATACGAAATAACTATCTCTTCATAAGCTTTATTTAATTAGCGCCTTAGTAATCGAGGAAGATTTGCACAATGTGGTGGTTTAATTTATATACAAATTAAATTTCTATGCTCCATATAATTAATGTAATATATTTGTAATTTACATACTGTTATAGTATGTTGTTACTTAAATCTCATGTAATGTGTGGTCTAATAATCAAATCACAGATAATTCTAGCGTTAGTGAACAGTGGCCATGGGGAGAAAAGTCGGTAAGGAACAGTGCATCAAAACTTATCCTTTTAATTCCCTAAAAAAAAACTTATCCTTTTAATTAATTGATTTGTTTGCATCATGATAATGAGAATTCTGTTTCCTAACTATGCGGTCCTTGCACCATATATACTCATCCTACCGGCCATATTAACCAAGTACTTACACTAATTTAATCATTTTTATTTTCCCAAGCGGATCCCAACACCACACTCCATCATCGCACTTCATTTATAGTGTTTACCAATCTCATATTTGTTACATTTTACTCTTCTATCAATGCATGTTTAGTGATTTTGACTATATTTCATATGAAATTAATAACTATTTGAATAATGAGCTTATGATAGACCTTGAGTGTGTTTCTCTACTATTTGATGCATTTATGGTGTTGTTTTGTACTTTTCAGCGTTATAAACCACTCGAGACGAATACGGATAGTCAAGGGACCTAAAGGAGGAGAAGAAGAATACAATCGCATGGGCTCAAACAGAGAAGGATGTTTGGACGCTGGATAAGTATATTAATGTTGCTCATTGGTTGATATTCTCATTTATATGTACGATAGATAAGTATATTGATTGTTATAGTATTTCTTGTGTTTTGCGAATCCTGTTTGTATTAAAAAATAATAATTACAAAAATCTTAATTGAATAACTAGGATAACAATTGAAAATTATCTCATATAGAATACAAAAATTAGAGAGATAATAGATAATATTAGTTTAAACAATGTTAGAAAGATATTAGATTTCACATAATAATGATGTAATCATTTTAACCTTGTTAGATAAAAAGAGTCAATTTGTACCACATTTCAAATTTTGAAGCAGGGCCTACACGATCCATTGGATGGCCCTAAATGAGATAAAGAGTCAAACTAGATTTAAGAAATTATCTATATAATGTTTATACAGTAATGCATCTAACCACTTTAAAGATCTAACTTAAATTGAAGGAGAGAAAATTAAAGAGTGAAAACAACTCCTACTATTCTTGGTGATTCAATAAGAGTAACAAGTGATTGGGAGGTTCTCACATAGAACTTGCTGCAAAATTCCATCTAGCCGGACGCGAGTCGGAATAGGATTTGTCATATCCAAATCTATGGCGATGTGCGAAAATTTGCCCCTCTCCATTTTCTCTGTGTGATAATCCAATTTAGCCGTTCTTCAGACCAATTTTCCGATTGCAAAGAGGACTTCCCAGTTGTGTAGGTGAACTGGAAGCAACGAAAACTGGGCTCAGGCGACCACTGATCTGTGGGTTTTTTTCGACGTGCGACCGTTGATTGGGTGAACAGTGGCTATGGGGAGAAAAGTTGGTAAGAAACCGTGCATCCAAACTTATCCTTTTAATTAATTGATTTGTTTGCATCATGATAATGAGAATTCTGTTTCTAACTATGCAGTCCTTGCACCATATATACTCATCCTACCGGCCAGAGTTGGGAGCATAGGTAGGCATATGTTACCGATCGCCCGAGTAGACGGACGGATCGCTATAAAAATGGATAAAACTCACTTTCAGTATATATGTATGAGAAAGAAAGGAAATAAAAATACAATACTTACGGCACAAAAGTGGTCCAACAAGCTAAGACCTTATATAATAAAACTTTTTTTTTTTTGGGCAGCGGTGGGTACACAGAGTAGCATAAAATAAAAATGAAGGCAACAAGGTGAAGACGAAAACAAACTACCGACGGTGGAGATTAAATTAAACTCAAATTCATGAAACCATTATTATTATCATCATGATAATAATAGTTACGTTGTAGCAGAGATGGATGAGATTGCACTATCGACCTCGGAATCTGGGCAACATGTAGCAGGCGGCCGAGTGCCCATTGTGTGCTAACTTGTGAGGTGGTCAGAGCTTATACTCGAGCAACCTGGAGATGCCATCAAGGCCTTTGGCGTAGAAATTGGCGCGGTAGTCTTGGATGGTGGTCTCTCGGTACTTGGGAGGATTGGTGTCCGATAACAACTCCTTGATGGGCCCGTACAGTCTCGGATTGGGGGCAAAGCCAGAGCTGAAGAAGGATGGCACCGACACTCTGTAGCCGACATTTTGGGCCAACACTCTGTGCTTGGCGCTTGTGAATTTGTCATTGGATATCAGCTGAAACATATCTCCGATGTTGATAATGAGACCTCCGGGCAAGGAAGGCACATCGACCCAGTGGTCCCGATGAAGGACCTGAAACCCTCCGATGTCATCCTGCAGGAGCACCGCAGCAAAGTCGATGTCGGAATGAATGTCCACTCCCATGGTGAGCTCTGGCTGGGGACAGGGTGGATACAAATGACAGCCGACTAGCAGTCCATCAGCACAACCCATTTCCTTGAGGTGGTCGGGGCCCAAGCCGAGAGCCTCGGACAAGAGCTGGAAGAGCAGATCCCCGAACTTCTGCAACTCCCTCGAGTACTCAATCAGGATATCCTTGGAGCAAGCGGGGAGCTCATCCTCGCTGGGGGGATCGGGGGCCATATGATAGACGATGGAGTCCCGCCAACTTGCGGCGGGCACATCGTACAAGTCGAAGTTGCTGTTGTAGACGACTTTTTTGGTCGGGTCTCGGGTGAAGAAGTGCTTCTTCACCTCGATGTCCAGCTCGTAAAACCTGTGGACTCCGGCTTTCATCTCCTCCAGCACTCTCTGGGGGACTCCGTGGTTGACCACCTGGAAGAACCCCCAGTTTCCTGAAGCCTCCAGGATCTGGGCCACGACCCTGCTCCGCTTCTCAGGATCAAGCGCTGCCCCTTCCATGTCAATGATCGGGAAGACAAAGTCGGGATCAGTGGCGGAAGCCGTAGGCCTCTTGTCGAGTAGGTGCGAGGGGAAATGGAAGATGCGTGGGAGCTCGGTGATGCCCGAATCGACCAGCCCTTTAACGCCGGCTTTCGTTTCGTCGAACGCTTTTCGCTCGGCGAACAGATCCTGGGCGGCGGCTACCATTTTGATGTTTTATGGGGTTGGATTGGTGAGATCGACTGTTGGCTCGTTTGGTTTTGTGTTTGATTGAGCAGATAATTAAGGTCATGTTTCACCTGCTATATATATAGTGACCGCCAAAAACAATATAATAATAGTAATCAACTAGCTAGCTAGGCTATATTATTGAGCACGCAGGCAGATCTTGACTTCCATGGGGTTATCACTATTAAGTGTTGCAGTACGCCACAACACTTAGGGCTGCAAAAAGATGTTTACTTCCATCCGGATCCGGGTTTTACTTCCCTACTTAAATTATACTTTCTCGACGTGGGGTGTATATATATTATATATACGAGATGGTTGGTGGAGAAGTCAACATCTGCCACCCCGACCCACATGGCTAATGATGTATTATTTATAATAATTTATTTATTGTTAACTATTAGTTACATAATAAACTAGCTAGCATTATTGGACATGAGCCCGACGTGTCTAGTGTACTACTTTATTCGTAATTAAATTTTACCTCAGACCTCATTGTTTGACCTTTCTTCACTCATTCATTATCTCTACTCACGTGACCAAGCAATCCTGCACCACATTGCATCTCCCTATATCTAGTTCCCCCTTGTCAGCTATATCGTAGATTTTACGCGTTAATGCACGTGCGCTATATAAATTCGTATATTCTGAAACATTAGAAAGTCCTGTATTCCCCCGCCATCAACCGACGCCACATAAAAACGTGACTTTACAAACGCCGTAGAAAATCGCAAACTCGTCATGGTGACCGATGCAGCGCTAAGGATATATCCAAATCAGTGCTGCTATCAACGTCGTTGTCGTTGTCCGGCCTTCATCGCCATCGGGATCCTTATATAGTTTCCTGAATTAGTTCCCCACTGTCATAAATTCATAATCTTGCCTAATAATGCACAGTACATATTGACCGCCATTATACTTCCTCATAATTCCTTGATGGTTTCCGTTGTGTTTTTCTAGGCTTTCTTTGGTTTTATTATGCTGATTGTTTGGTCTTTCGTTTGCTTATTTGAGGAGGTTCTGTATTGCTTTTTGTGGTCGACCTATTTTGAGAATCTTGTGCGCTGGTTGTCTATGTTTCTTGTTTGTTTCGTCTTGTTCTGTTTTGCTACTCTATTTTTGGTTTGTCACTGATAAAAATTATATGAATTGATTTTATTTTCCAAATAAAAAATATTAAACGAACATTAAAGTCAAGATCTGCCTCCTCACATCGTCAGTATTGTAGTAGTGTGACTAAATTGTTTTCTTTTATCTGGTTTGTCCTTTTGTCATAGAAGCATATGAAAATGATATAAAAAATACATATTAATTAATTTATTTTCTAATTTACAAATATAAGATAAATATTAAAGTCAAGATCTGCCTACTCACTGTGTTGTTATTTTAGTAGTGCGACTAAATGCTTCAGGAATTGGAAATTGGCGGGCGCTAGCTATCTAAGTTATGGTTTTTAATTAACATAATAGTCATCATTATGTTTTAACTTGTGATTTTTGTAAAGATTATGTTTCGATTTCTAGCCTTCGTCTTCACAAGATTTGTAACGTTTTGATTTTTAAGCACCTATTGTCAATTTTGCGAGTTCAATTTGTAACAGAATAAACTAATTTTAGGGAAATAAATAAGAAGGCTTATGCTTCCCTGATGACAAACTCGAGAGATATAAAAGGGAGAAACTGTCAGCGAGAGGTGGACAAGGGAGAGATGAAAATGGCGGTGATGAATTTTCTCGGGCGAATGGAAACTTCCAACTCCTAAAGTGTTCTCTGTCTATAAAAATCTCCTTAATACATCATTTTCAGTTACTCTCCTATCAAATGTTGACTTGAGCTTTGGTGAAGGGCACATCCTAACACAATCGGTGCATTTTTGTAGGTGTTTATCTCAAAGATTTGTGATGAATGATTGTGAAAATGTCAATGGACCATTAACATATTGAAACAGTCAAATATATATCGCCGCCCGCCGTACAATATATATATACCAACGTTACTATACTACCGCTAACCATATATTGTAAACAAATAACCTGCAGCAGTCCATCACGTTTTCCTTAGGGGGAGTGATTATACATATATATATATAGATCTGGACGTTGAGATTTTGTCCTTGAGCTAACATGATAATTTAACACAAAAACCTGTGTATTGTTTAATTGCTTGGTTGCTAGAAGGATGCTGGAAGCTGGCTTATATCGAAATGATGTATGTTAGTATTGGCAAACAACAATATAGAAATGAACATATATATATAAATACGAAGTCTCCAGTAGATGCAGATCCATCCATCTATCAAACAAACAAACCAACCAAAAAAGCAGCGACCTTAGAAGAGAAGAAAATATCCATAGAGAGGGAAGGAGAGAAGTGAAAGCAGAAGCAGTTGGGGAAGTAATGATGATGGCGGGTGATCTTTCGATGACGATCCCAATTAGTAGTAGTAGTAGTAGTAGTAGTAGTGTTGCAGTAGTCTTGATCATCACTACCCTTTTCATGATAATACTGAAAAGGTATTCATCGTTGTCAAAAGCAGCTGCCGGCGAGAGGATTCCACCAGGGCCATGGAAGTTGCCGATGATGGGCAACCTCCACCAGCTGGCGATTGGCTCGTCTCTGCCACATCGCCGGCTAGGCGAGTTGGCCAGGCAATACGGGCCTCTGATGCTTCTGCAGCTTGGCGAACTCCCGACGGTGATAGTGTCGTCGGCAGAATGGGCCAAAGAGTTCATGCAGACCCACGATCTCAACTTCGCCAGCAGGCCCTTCATCCCGGCGGCCAACATCATCTTCTACGGCGGCAGAGACATCGGGTTTTCCCCCCACGGACCCTACTGGACAAAGATGAGGAAGATTGTAGCCATGGAGCTTCTGGGCGCCAGACGTACCAAGATGCTGCGGCCCATCATGGAACAGGAGATGGCGAAGCTCGTGGGCTTGATCTCCACAAACTCAACTGTCAACCTCACTGAAATGATGCTCTCCCTGGGCAACTCCATCACTTGCCGCGCCGCCTTTGGCAAGATCCAGAAGCAAGAGGAAGTCTTCTTGCCATTTATCAAACAGTTCATGAAGGCGCTCGGAGGGTTCAGCCTCGTCGACCTCTTCCCTTCCAATTACTTGCTGCGTCTACTCGTCACCACCCCGGCCGAGAACAAGCTCAGGAAGGTTCACTCCGCGGCAGATGCCATCATGGAAGCTATCATTAACGACCGCATAGCTCAACGCTCATCAGCTGCTGCAGCTGGAAACAACGATGACGATGAAGATCTCCTTGGTGTTCTTTTGAATCTCAAGGACAACAACGACCTCGGCTTCACTGAGATTAAAGCTGTCATTCTCGTAAGTCACTCACGACTCCTTCTCATTACATATAATTAATTTTGTTATTCATTCATTAATTAATATCGATAGTTACTAACCATCATGCCTTTGCCTGCAGGACATGTTTCTTGCCGGGTCTGATACCTGGACCATCACCGTAGAATGGGCAATGTCCGAGCTCATGAAGAACCCCAGAGTCATGGAGAGAGCACAAAGAGAGGTTAGACAAGTTTTTCATGGAAAGGGAGTAGTTGATGAGCCATCCATTGATCAACTACCATATCTACAACTAGTTCTCAAAGAAACTTTGAGACTACACCCTCCCGGTCCTTTGGCTATTCCGAGGGAATGCAAGCAGACCATCCTCGTCAATGGATTTCAAATCCCCGCCAAGACAAGGGTCTTCGTCAATGTGTGGGCCATTAATAGAGATCCGCGTCACTGGACCCAACCCGAAGTTTTTTATCCCGAAAGGTTCCTCGATAGCTCCGTTGATTTTAGGGGCGTAGATTTCCATTACCTCCCGTTTGGAGCTGGACGAAGGATGTGCCCCGGCATGCATTACGGACTTGCTTTGGTTTATCTTTCCCTTGCCAATTTAATCTATCATTTCGACTGGAAGCTCCCTCACCAAATGAAACCCCAAGATCTGGACATGGGCGAAAGATTCGGCATTGAAGTGAAAAGAAAAAACAATTTAATCCTCATTCCCACTCCATACCACCCTAAATGAGCTATCTTAGCTGGCCTAACTACTTTTGTTGGATTGTTGCATCCCCTCTTTCATATTTGAACTCTCCATGTGTCTCATTTCAATCGTGCCAAATGAAATAAATGATTAATTTCTATAATGTGATGATTATTGTATTCTCGTCATTATTTATTGTCAATTAGTTTACCAATTAGTTAGTGGTCATGGATTTTATTATATCATCAATTTCTATTTTTTTATTTTAAAATATTAAATATTAATTTCGGTTTTCTATTTTGGATTTTTAATTTTGGATTAATTAGCTACTGAATTTAATAGGGCAAGTTGGTTTTCCTTTTTTAACCTATGGAATTTAATGCCGAGATTTTTTTTATTCATTCCGTGCCATTATGGGTAGTTAATCAATCATTGCTATTGTTTACCTCTCTACTTTTTCTATTGGCTATAATGGATTTAAGATCCTCCTTAAGTAATGATGTTGGAAGACTATATCCAACCTGTGCTCTTACCTTATTCACCCGCAAAGGTGACTTTTGTCAACAAAAAAAAAAAAAATAGTTAATTGATATCATTGTGATGTGTGAAATAAGTAATGATAAAAAATAGGGCTAATACCACTTAAAATACTGACCGTTAGCGACTTTGCCATTATATTACTGATCGTTTGATGCCAAGTTAATTGCTAGGGTTACAGACAGTTAATTGAAAAGAAAAATAAACATTTTGGATTGTTTAAATGATTTGTTAAGGTGGTTGGGAGATCACAGTCTTATCATGCTGGCAAGAGGTGTTGACTGATCGTGTAGAGGTGTTGATCCTAATCGTAGCCGAGGCACGTGGCGACAGATGGCCAGTGGGATTGATACATCAAATTGGATTCCGATTTGGGAGCTCCCAATCCTTCCGGAGTTTATGATCTTTCTCTGACAAGTTTTTAATGCATTCTCCCAAGTCCCAACCCCGGAAGCTCTGGTCGAGAAGAAGGTTCAAGTGTTACCTTGATGTCTGGTATGTTGTGCGGAGTTGGAGGCAATGGAGCATCTTTTCTTAACTTTCTGGTGGCAAGGGAAATATGGGATTACTCTAGCCTAGAATATCTTGGACAAGGTATACCTCTCCAAAACTTCCCACTCTTTATCAATAAGTAGGTGGTCGCGGCCCTCTGGCGGATTTGGAAATCAAAGAATTTGGTTGTCTTTGAAGGGAAACAATTCCAGGTTCTATCTATCTTTGATGCGACAGTATCATCAACAAGTTCGGGAATGGATTGTTTACCACCCGCTAGAGTGACATCATCTCCCCTAGATTGAGAACGCATATGTTTCCAACCCAGTCTTGTGCACTTGCATGTGGGACGGTGCAATAAGGAATGGATCACACTCACAGGGAGGAATGGTAATTAAAGACCAAAGTGGGTTGATTGTTTTGTCTAGGGGAGTTCATATCGAGAGTATTGATGATCTCCGCGCTTCTCCGTTAATTATCATGTGATTCAACGGGAACGAGGGTTTTTTTGAGGGTTTCGAGTAACATCTAATTCTCGCATTTGTTTGCGTTTATTCGTGTTATTTAGTGGTTATTTACGTAATCCGGTGTATTTTCGCGTAAGAATTGTGATGATTCACACAAATAGAAACCCAAACTTTGTTTTTTGTTCACCTAATATTTTGTATTGGTTATATTTAATGGAATTAAATTTCAATTTTGTTTTGTAAAGTCAGTTACATTGATCATAACGTACACAATGACATCGATTTTACTATATTTGAAGAATTAAAAATTGATTTTAGAATGACGTGAATAAGGAACAATATCAGCGAATAAATATATACTAGCTAGGTTGCGTGAATGACCATTGTTATTTGTGTGAATAACCATATTATTAATTGCGTGAATAAAACTGATATGGCGAGAATATATAAACAAAAAATTACGTAAAAGCACGTGAATTAAATAATATGCCTCTTTAGGAGCAACCAAATATTCTCTTAATGGTTTAAACCTTTTATTATTTTTCTTTTCCCTCCGTCTATGATGGATGGTTAATGAGCCCATTTCATGGTTTTCTAATCACATGGCGCCAAATCAAGGTGCGAATAATTTCTGGTCAGCGCACACCTCTTGTCTTCCCGGCGTTCCGTAAATTAAATATCCCATTCATGCAGTAAGGAAAGACAGCTCATTTTATAGTCCCTCCCCACTAAGACTACATCAATGGAGTTGTTTTTTTAGAAGAGTACATTAATGGAGTATCAGTCCAACACATGTGGCCGATAGTATATGCATGTGGGCTTCTGTATATTAATTTGATCCATTCTTTATTTTGTTGAAATGGCGCGGTCGGTCGCATGTAGACTGCGGCCAGCCAGCGAGATCCATTCTACTGCGGATGCCTTCTACATGTGATTGTACGTACGTAAGAAATTAAATAGTGTATAGCAGTGCGTACGTACTGCGGCTTCAGAGGCTATATATAGAGAGACTCAGAAGCATTGATTCACACAGCCTACAAGTTTATTTATTACCATCCCATATCACCTTCTATAATATATATTATATCATATTTCTTCCCGCTCTCAAGTTTAAGCTCAACCGTACGCATCAGCAATGGCGGCCGGGAAACGCTTGCAAGGCAAGGTAGCTGTGATCACCGGCGGAGCCATGGGGCTGGGAGCCGCGGCGGCGAGGCTCTTCTCCCTACACGGAGCCAAGGTCCTGATAGCCGACATCCAGCCATCGGAACTGGGCCAAACGCTCTGCAAGGAGATCGAAGCCGAGTCGGGCCATCCCGTGACCTACCTCCAGTGCGACGTGACCAGCGACGCCGACATGCAGAACGCGGTGGACACGGCCGTTTCGATGCACGGGAAGCTGGACATCATGTACAGCAACGCCGGGATATCGGGACAGAAGATCACCCCCACCGACCTCCGCATCTCCTCCGTCACCCCCGAAGTCTTCAGGAAGGTGTTCGACATCAACGTCTACGGATCATTCCTGGCCGCCAAACACGCTGCCAGGGTGATGGAGAAGAGCGGCAACGGTGGGGTCATCCTCCTCACTGGCAGTGCCGCCACTGCCAGCTATGGGATGGCCCCACACGCCTACACGGCATCAAAGCACGCCGTGGTGGGGCTCACCAAGAACCTGTGCGTGGAGCTGGGCCAGTTTGGGATCCGGGTCAACTGCATCTCGCCGTTCGGGGTGCCGACCCCGCTGAGCATGGACATTACCGGGATGGACGAGGCCGCCTTCGAGGAGGCGTTCAAGGCCAAAGGAAACCTCAAGGGAGTCGCGCTGAGGGCCGACGATATCGCCAACGCGGCGTTGAATCTTGTGAGTCACGAGTCCAAGTACATCAGTGGGATCAATCTTCTGGTCGACGGCGGTCACTCCCTCATGAGCGCTTAATCGCCGATTGATTAATATGGTTTCGCCATGTGATCACTGAATTTCAATTTCGTCTTTCTCTTTGAGGCTTTATGCAGTTACGCATTTGTGAGTTTCTCTATTAATTATGCCAGCTCTCCTGTCTTTTGTCTGAATAAATTAATGAAGGGTCCAATTACGAATTAATTGAATAACATTGTATATTCAATCATGTAGACATCCTTCAAGTCATATGTTATTCCATATCATAACTCATTGTTCAAAAGTGACCTTTCAATTGCTAGCCTAACATAAGAGTCAATTTACAATAAGTATCATTTTCTCAAGCAAATAAACTAAAATATTCATCATGGTATCCAAAAACTTTTTCTAAAATCTACTAGAATGCGGAAGCACAACACTACGATTTACGTGGTTTCCCCGTTCCGTGAGCGAGACTACTCCACGGAGAGCCGAAGCTCTCAGTTTATCTTATTATGTTTGCAGAGAATATGAGCTGCGCAGAATACAGTACTCGGCTACAAAGCCCTCCTAATATACCCTTTCTAAAACGTCACTAGGGCAATTAGGTTAGAGAGGCAAATAACAGAAAGGTCCTCAAAAAAGAAAATGAGTGCAAGAAGATACACGGTTCAACACTCCCCCTCAAGCTGCAGCATGTAGGTCTCGAATGCCAAGCTTGCAGAGAAGACGTTGAAACTGTTCCGTGCCCAAGGCTTTGGTGAAGATGTCCGCCAACTGGGAAGAACTACCAATCTTCACCGGTGCTATCTCCTTGGAGACCACTCGCTCACGCACGAAGTAGCAATCCATTTCTACATGCTTCGTGCGTTCATGGAAAACGGGATTGGCAGCTATGTGTAAAGTTGCCTGATTATCACAGTGCAGAGGTGTCGGGCATGGCTGCGGCACACCAAACTCAGTAAGGAGAAAACGCAACCAAACAACCTCGCTGACCGTGCTGGCCATCGCCCGGTACTCCGCCTCAGCAGACGATCGAGATACCATTTTCTGCTTCTTCATCCTCTATGAAACCGGAGCACCTCCCAGCTGTATGTAGTATCATGTGGTCGACCTGCGAGTCGTCTGGCATCCTCCCCAATCGGCATCACAATATGCGGTGAGCTCGAGAGACCACTAGGGTAATTATGTAATGTATTTGTAATTTACATACTGTTATAGTATGTTGTTAGTTAAATCCCATGTAATGTGTGGTCTAATAATCAAATCACATTATGAGATTTCATCTTATTGAACTGTAATAGCTACGTAAATATTTGCGTAACGCAAATTGACGAGATGATTAATGTTTTCGTTAATAATAAAGGAATTAAGGTTGGAAATCTTGGAAGAGAAGTTGTTGGCCTCCATAAAGTTTGCTTGGCGGGATGATATGGTGAACTTTATGGTTATGATAAACTCTTTAATTATATCATGGAAGAGGAGTATAAAGACGGTAGTAAAAAATCCAACAAAAAAGAAAAGGGGGATTTAGGACGTTTAGGTGAGTACGCCCACAGATAATTCTGGGGCTAGTGAACAGTGGCTATGGCCTATGGGGAGAAAAGTTGGTAAGGAACCGTGCATCCAAACGTATCATTTTACTTAATTGATTTGTTTGCATCATGATAATGAGAATTATGTTTCCTAACTATGCAGTCCTTGCACCATATATACTCATCCTACCGGCCATATTAACCAAGTACTTACACTAATTTAATCATTTTATTTTCCCAAGCGGATCCCAACACCACACTCCTTCATCGCACTTCATTTATAGTGTTTATCAATCTCATATTTGTTATATTTTACTCTTCTATCAATGCATCTTTAGTGATTTTGACTATATTTCATATGAAATTAATAACTATTTAAATAATGAGCTTATGATAGACCTTGAGTCTGTTTCTCTACTATTTGATGCCCTTATGGTGTTATTTTGTACTTTTCAGCGTTATAAACCACTCCAGACGAATACTGATAGTCAAAAGACCTAAAGGAGGTGAACAAGAATACAATCGCATGGGCTCAAACATAGAAGGATGTTTGGACGCTGGATAAGTATATTAATGTTGCTCATTGGTTGATATTCTCATTTATATGTACGCTAGATAAGTATATTGATTGTTATAGTATTTTTCTTGTGTTTTGCAAATCCTGTTTGTATTAAAAAATAATACTTACAAAAATCTTAACTGAATAACTAGGATAACGATTGAAAATGATCTCATATAGAATACAAAAATTAGAGAGATAATAGATAATTTTATTTTAAACAACGTTAGAAAGATGTTAGATTTCACATAATAACGATGTAATCATTTTAACCTTGTTAGATAAAAAGACTCAATTTGTAACATAAATTTATTTTTTTGGCATAAAAGTCCTCAAAGTGTTGATGGAACATTACATTTTAGTATCTAATTTTTTTGTGTATTACATTTTGGTACCTAAAACTTTTGATGTCCTACAAGTAAGTCTAATTTTTTAATGTAATCAAAACACCCTCGAATAAATGAGTATCCATTCCATACCCAACTCATACACATTTAGATTATGGAAGTAAATATTCATACCCTACTCAAACCCATCTACATACTTCCAAACCCATATATATGTCACCATTCACTTCTCATAATCAATGGGTCGACTTGGGTTTAGGTAAATAGTATTTATTAGCCAAACAAACAAACCAACCAAAAAAGCAGCGACCTTAGAAGAGAAGAAAATATCCATATAGAGGGAAGGAGAGAAGTGAAAGCAGAAGCAGGGTGGATACTCATGTGTTTGAGTTCAATTATCATTCTATACCAAAAGGAAAAAGATAAACAAAAAAACACTAACCAGATAAAACTCGCTCCACATAATACATGTCCGTAGGCCATCTCCGCCCCGGGACAAGGCGCGGCATCGCCACCTAGTATATATAAATACGAAGTCTCCAGTAGAAGCAGATCCATCCATCTATCAAACAAACAAACCAACCAAAAAAGCAACGACCTTAGAAGAGAAGAAAATATCCATAGAGAGGGAAGGAGAGAAGTGAAAGCAGAAGCAGGGTAGATACTCATGTGTTTGCGTTCAATTATCATTCTATACCAAAAGGAAAAAGATAAACCAAAAAAACACTAAACCAGATAAAACTCGCTCCCTGACCCAAATTTCTCAATACCGGGTTCCACTCGCTGTGATCGGGTCGAACCCAGTTTGAACAATTTCACAATTGACCCTACCTATCAATTACAAATGTGGATAAAACTCGCTCTTGATACAAAACTCATGAACACTGTGTTTGGGTTCAATTGTCATTCTCCTCCAAAATGAAATAAAATAAAAACATTAAAGCAGACAAAACTCATTCTCGATCTAGAACTCGTCAACACTGTGGTTAACTCGCTTTGGCCGACTTTTTAATAAATTGACACTTGACCCAACCTGCCACCTATTAAAGTGGATAAAACTCGCTCACGATACTAAACTCGTCATTATCATAGATTCGGGTTCAATTGTCTTCCCAACCAAAAGGAAAAATAAAATTTTTAAAATACTAAAGTCGGTTTCAAGTCCCTTTGACCTGGGCGAATCAGGTTGGATTCCAATGAATTTGGGTTCAATTGTGATCATGCTTAACCGAAAGGAAAATGAGAAAGAAAAACCTCAAAGCGGATGAATCTCGATCTCGATACAAAAATCATAAACATAGAGAAGATCTGGTTTCGAGAAGGATTGTGAATTGGTGAACAAAGAAGAGGATTTGACAACGCATATATGGTATGGATCTTGGAGAGTGGGGGAAAAGAAGGATTTTGGAACTTCCCCACTTGCAAGGAGGAGTGTGAGTGCCACTAATGAATAGTAACATCAAACCTAGACTTTTATAGCTTAATTAATTAATATGTAATTGAGTGGAGCAACTTATGTGAGTTGGACAAACCGTGGTAGGTAGTCGAGTATAGGAGTGCAGGATGTGACGGTTTGCTTCGTATTAGATTTCATCGGATCAAATTGATATTTGGATCAGTTCATACATAATCGAATAAAATGAGGTTTGGTTTTTGGGTTCATGAATTTTATAAATATTGAAATGGACCGGGCCAAATGAGACCGAATGCAGTACTGTTGGTCCGGTGTTGATCTTGAGATGTCTGTCAACTATTAAACCGCGATTCTCATGAGTTTGGTCCAATTTGAACCGCATACAATAAGTGTTAAAAGGCATATGGTTGACTGGTGGAAGGTTTATGTGGTAAGTTTACACCGCCAAAATACAAGTTCTTAACTTGGCTTGTTATTTTGGCTAGAATTGCTACAAGAAATAACTTAGGGATCGTTTGGATTAGAGATTTTAATGAGGGATTTCAGAGAGTTTTTAAAACAATATCTCGTTTTGCAGGATTTTAACACAATTCTACGTTTGGGAAAGATGAGAGATTTTACAATTAGGAAATTTAAAAACCCTCAATAGTGGGTTTCTGAAATAGATGATCACCAAGGGCATTTACATGGGCCTTTAGGGGTGTCCCGGGACACCCCTAAAATTTGGGAAAACGATTATCCAACCTCCGGTAGTAATTTTGTGTGGGTATACAAAATATAATTGGTAATCCGGGACACCCTAACATTTGAAAAAATGATTATCCTACCCTCGATAACAGTTTGCTTATGATTAACAAAATATAGGTGGTAGTCCGTGTTATTCCTACCTAGGACACTACTATTATCAAACATATTCTAATTATGTTGCTACTCATTTGCTATTCTATTTTAAACATCATGCAACAGTAAAACGCTATTTCTTTATCCCCAACTATTTTGAATACCTAATAATTAAACTACGTACATGCTACCCTTAATTTTGAATTGATTTTATGGTTACACGGCAAGTGTTGAAAGAGTCTTTTCTACTTTGAGCTACATTAAGAACAAGGTTAGAAATCGAATATGTAATAAGTTCGTGAAGTATTGTCTAGTAGGAATGTAGATTTTTTGAACAGTGCATACACGGAGTTTATTTATATTATTTTTTGAAAATATGAATTTTAATTTATTATTTAATAAAAAATTTATACAAATTATACAAGTATGATATTTTTAATATACGAATTATTTAGTTTATTATATAATTAAATTTAATTTTTGAAGAGGACACCCCTGTGAAAATTTTCTGAATCCGCCACTGATGATCACCATCAGCTATTTTCAAATCTCTCGTTCTTCTTTCATATATTCCAAAACCTACCCTCGTTCGACTCTTCTTCCTTCTTCTTCGGACGAACTTCTTCCTCCACTCACTCCACTCTCAACTGCCGACAGAGAGCATCCTGGAGCAGCATCCAGATTTTCCCAACCACCGCCGCAGCTATCAACCGTCTTCCGTTGTCTGATGACTCGATATATACACATGTTTTTGTCCACCATTCTTATACTATTTGAGCCTCAAATCTAGTGTTTTAGGCCGATTTCACGCTAGGTTGTTCTTGTTTGTGATATTTCAGGTCCTAGTACGTGAACGAAGGTTTGAGAACGAGTTTAGGGTCGATTGGACGAAGATGGGACGTTTGACGAGAAGCTGGGAAACCACACGGGCAGACCTAAAATTCCACACGCCCGTGTGACTTGGCCGTGTGGAACACCTTTACGCGGGCAAAGCCACACGGGCCATGTAAGGACCCCCTTTTGGCCGTGTGGGATGTCCAGAGAGTTCACATGGGCAGAGCTAAATTCCACACGGTCATGTGATTTTGGCAGTGTAGCGTATCTGAAGTCACTAAATCGAACGCGTCGTTTTGGAGAGCCACACGGGCAGACCTAAGTTTCACACGGCCGTGTGATGGGGCAAAGCTGGGTTTTTAACCCAATTTCGGGTCTTTGAAGAGGGAGACGAACTTTCACAGCAAAAACAGAGTCCTAGAGAGAGAAAGTGCAAATAACAAACCGTAGGAGTGATTCTGGAGCTGGGTTTCATCAAACAAGCTTGGATTTCATCCTTGGGGTGAAGATTATCATCCCAAAGCATATGCTTCCCATCATTATGAGTATGGCTGCTTTGTATTATGTTTTTCTCTCTCTCTCTATGGAGTAGAACCCTATCTCACTTGGGTTCCATGTGTTAGGGATCATTGTTGTAATGACTTTTGGATGATATACAGCTTGGTTATAATCGATTGATGCATGATTCATTGAGTCAATTGAAGCCTGATAAACTTTTCTTGATTTCTGCTGCAACCTGTGATAGATAGAATCTGATTAAGTTGTTAGAGCTTCATTAATAGATAGTAGTGAATTGGTTATATGAGAGTTAATCAATTTATTGCTTTGTATTTGAACGCGATTCCAGTAGTGGAGTTCTGTGTTTATTGCCTCAACGTTCTATCCCGGTGAAGACTAGTCGTCTGTCTGGTAGTCTGTCTAAGAGAGCTTGGTCATCTTAAAGATTCCAAGCTACTGTCGGATCTTCTGCAGTTTAATCATCAATAAATCAACCAAAGGAAATTACAACTTTGACCTAACTAAGGAGCTTGGGGGACTCATTCTCGAGGGACTCATTCTTGATGCATTTAAGAAGTCTCCTTTATTCTTCATATTGTGTTGGTTGATTGTGTGAATTAGTGATCTCAGGACCCTTGAATTGTGTGGTATTGTGGACTCTCTACCTGTCATGGACTCCTGTATCATGTTTTGAAAAAAAGGTGCTAAAAATGTGCTTTAAAATAACGTCTCCCGTGCGAAAAGCGCTAAAGTGTGTAAGGGGAGACAGGAATCTGTTCCCAATTTCCACCTACTACCTCCAGACCCCCTTACATTTCTTTCCACCACACGAGGCTCGAGACATCTGCTCCCGGCATGGCCGGTAAGAGCTGCTGTTGGCATGGCCAGTAAGAGCCTGGCTCACTCAAAACCTTTAATAGGTGGGAGCCCCGTTTTTTGGAAATAACAGGTTGGGACCCTTGACAAAAAAACAATCGACAAAACAAAGAAAAAAAGGGGGTTCCAACCATCTTCAAAAAGAAAATTGAGCACCTTAAAAAAGTGAGTCCATGATCTTTCTGTTTTTGAGAGTCCCTTTTGTCCACGATTCATTTGTCCTCTGAACACTATTTTCCATGATGCCGACTCGATCGGGGGTGCATATTGCTATAGAGGTCTGGAGATCTGCATTGGTTTGAGTCAGGTTTGCTTGGGGACAAGCAAACAGCTAAGTGTGGGGGAATTTGATCACTTGATATATACATATGGTTTTGTCCACCATTCTGATATTGTTTGAGCCTCATCACTCGTGTTTTAGGCTGATTTCACGCTAGGTTGTTCTTGCTTGTGATATTTCAAGTCCTAGTACGTGAATGAAGGTTTGGAAACGAGTTCGAGGTCGATTGGACGTTTGGCGAGAAGCTGGGAAACCACACGGGCATACCTAAAATTCCACACGGCCGTGTGACTTGGATGTGTGGAACACCTTTACGCGGGCAAAGCCACACGTGCCGTGTAAGGACCCCCTTTTGGCCGTGTGGGATGTCCAGAGAGTTCACACGGGCAGACCTAAATTCCGCACGACCGTGTGGTTTTGACCGTGTAGCGTACCTAGAGTCACTAAATCGAGCACGGCGTTTTGGAGAGCCACACGGGCATACCTTAATTTTACACGGCATTGTGGCCTGGCCGTGTGATCAGGTAGAATTGAGTTTTTAACCCAATTCTGGGTCTTTGAAGAGGGAGACAAAGTTTCAGAGCAAAAACAGAGTCCTAGATAGAGAAAGTGCGAAGAACAAACCCTAAGAGTGATTCTGGATCTGGGTTTCATCAATCAAGCTTGGATTTCATCATTGGAGTGAAGATTATCATCCCAAAGAAGATTCTTCTCATCATTATGAGTATGACTGCTTTGTATTCTGTTTCTCTCTCTCTCTCTCTCTCTCTATGGAGTAGAACCCTCTCTCACTTGGGTATGAAGAACCCTAGTTCCATGTGTTAGGGATCATTGTTGTAATGACTTTTGGATGATATAATGCTTGGTTATAATCGATTGATGCATGATTCATTGAGTCAATTGAAGCCTGATCAACTTTTCTTGATTTCTGTTGCAACCTAAGATAGACAGAATCTGATTAGGTTGTTAGAGCTTCATTAATCGGTAGTAGTGAATTGGTTATACGAGAGTTAATCAATTCATTGCTTTGTACTGGAATCCAATTCCAGTAGTGGAGTTTTGTGTTTATTGCCTCAGTATTTTATCCCGGTGAAGACTAGTCGTCTGTCGGGTAGTCTGTCTGAGAGAGCTTCGTCAGCTTAAGAGATTTCAAGCTACTGTGGGATCTTCCGCAGTTTAATAAACATTAAATCAACCAAAGGTAATTACAACTTTGACCTAACTAAGGAGCTAGGGGGAATCATTCCCTAGTGACTCTTCCCTTGCTTAAGAACTTCGATAAATTTCCTGTTTTTTATTGCTTTTCATTTCAATCACTCTCACTACACTTAGTCCTGCTAGATAATAGATACTCACGGAGTAGGCAGTAGATCTAGTCCCCGGGTTGATAAAGTTAACTTGCCACTATCATGCATTCCCATTCTGCGATTACACGTGGTCGCCGTTTGGTGTTGTGTCGTAGCATGTCACTATCCTTTGCCGTTGACTCTCCTGGTCCCCTTCACCGCCATGTAGGGGTGGGCATTCGGTCGTTTCGGTTTGAACCGAACCGAACAGATGAATACCGGGTCCCCAAAGTAGTGCAGGGGGCAAACTGAATTCGAACCGCGATATAATTCGGTTCAGTTTTAAGACACTGCCAAACTTCCCCATTTACTCTAATCTATCTCCCCATTTTCCATTTCTGCGCTCTCCTTTTCTCTCTGTCTCTCTCACTCCTAAGAGCACAACGCAAGCAGCGATTGCTCGTCCCCTATCTGGACTCGACGACAACAACTTAGGCGGCGATGGCGATCGACGGAGAAGACAACCTCGCGGCAGGCGGCGTCATGCAATCGATGGCAACATCAACAACTCAGGGGGCGATGACGAGTGACGGAGAGGACAACCCGGCGGCGGCATGAAATCAACGGCAACGACAACAACTCAGCCGACGATGGCCATCGAGGGAGAGAACAACCCAACGGTAGGTGGCGACAGTGATTGCTTGTAAATTTTAATTTGTTTTTTTCTCCTTCGTCTCTATTTTTTTATTTCCGTGCGCATCTACATCTCTCACGGAGAGAGTCCCAAATCCAGATCGTAGATCTAGTTTCCTTACCTACTACTGCTTTCTTCGTGCTTTGCATGTTGTCCATCTTCAATTCTTCTCTGTCTCCTCATTTTGCTTCTTCAATTAGGGATTTTTTTTTATGGATTTTCCCTCTGTTTGTTTTATGAATGTGTTTCATTCTTTGCTTTGCAGGTTTTTGGTTGTGAGACTAGAGCGGGTGGAGGGAATGGGAAGGGGTTACTCAAGGAGTGGTGATGAGAGCTAGTCGGCTGTGCTCTGCGTGGGACGAAGTCGATGGAGGCAAGAGGAATCGAGGTACTCGAGAAGACAACGGCGGAGTGGAGCGACGGCGGCCATGAGTTGGAAAGGGGGCGGAGTAGGGTTGTGGGGAGAGTTGGGCTGTAAGGGGAGGGTTTGGGCTCAGTAGGGTTGTGGGGAGAGTTGGGCTGTAAGGGGAGGGCTTGGGCTCAATTGCATTGTGTGGAGAGTTAGGCTGTGAGGGTTTGGCCTATGTGTATAATAATTTTTCGGTTTCTTGGTTCGGTGTTCGAAATGTCAGTTTGGCCAACACGACCCTGGCTTCCGAACTATGCATTTACTGTTTCCGATTTTTGAAACAAACAACATAATTTTGGTTTCGGTTCTGTTTGAAGTCGGTTCGGGTTATCGAACCGGATGCCCACCCCTACCGCCGTGCATGAACCCTAATAACAACCCATTGACAATTTCTTTGTGGCAGAGAAGCTCTCCCTTGGTTCTGGGTTCAATGGTCGTGCCGCATACACCCCCCA